CTTGGCTCTGTTTTATTTTTAAAAATTCTTCAAAGGCTTTATAACAGCAATGAAGATATTTTACATTTCCTAATCATTTGTGTCTGATGGACGGCACTTCCCGTCCATCCATCCATCCATCCATCCATTGTCTATACACCGCTTAATCCTCACGGGGGTCATGGGGGCACTTCCAATCATTACACTAAAAAACAGGTACAACCCAAACAGACGCCCTGTCCCTGTGTGGACTCCACCTCGGTCTGTTCAGATAAACAGGCAGGTTTAGTGTAAGCTGTGTAAACCCTGTTTTAGCTCCATATCCTGAACTACATCACGTCCCAGTGCTCATGATGCAAAGTGACACCAGCCATTAACTCTGCTTGTCTGCCTGTCTGTTTGTGTTTGCTTCAGTTTCAGTGGTGGCGTTGCTTAGTCAGCAACTGAAAGTCTCTCTGGGGCGGAGGGAGTGGGGTGCTCCACACTGCCCTCCACAGGCGTGGACCTTGTCCTGGACTGAAGGTGCTGAGCTGACCCTCTGCTGCCGCCGTCCTGCTGGACCTCTCAGTCTGGAGTCAAGCCTTACCCTCCTGAGAGGGGAGGACTCCACAGCGTTGTGCCTTCACTCAGGGCCCTTGTCCTGTCTCCATCCCCTTGTTCCTCCAACCTCTGCTCCAGCCTCTTCCTCCCTGACCAGAACAAGTGCCTTGTCTGCTATCCAGCCTCCCTCAACCTGCTGTTGCATCTCTGCTGTACCCTGGAGACCCAAGCTGACATGAGAATACCCATGTTTTTCTTTGGATGACGGATGATAACGGTGGCGTCTGCCCCAGCCTGAAATGAACGGAGCTGTACGAGACCCAGGAAGAGGTCAAAGCTGTTCGCCGCTAATCACCAGAAATAACTCTGTCGGTTATCCCTCTTTCTCTGTCTTTGCTGGCTGTCATTCGAACTCGAACCTGGGGCTGTTGTTGGCGCGTCCTGCCCCTCCAGCTATGGCGGGTATTAGCGTGGCTGCTGCTGAGTTATAGAAGAGCAGTTACGTAACCCGCTGCAGGGTCCTGAGGCACCAGAAGGCCGAGCAAGGCCTCCTTCTTCAAAGCTCAAGGTTCTTGTTTTCTGTTTTGTTTTCTGTCCTTTTAATTAGCTTCTTCCTGTTACTTTTATAGTGTTTTTGTTAATGCTGTTGGTATCATGGTTGTGTAACGTATGTGATGTTTATTTAAATATATGCATATATACACACATATGTATGTATATATATGAGTGTGTGTGTGTGTGTGTGTGTGTGTGTGTGTGTGTGTGTATACATATATTGCTAAAGGAGCATTGTAGTGAGGACATAATGTTTAACACATACCGGTATGTCAAAGCAGCATCCCAGCAGTAACTTGGACTTAGATGTTAATAGTAATTTAAAGCCCATGTTTGAGAGGATTCCTGAATGGATGGTTGGAGTTAAGCCTGACCGACCGGCGTCCCTCCGTTGGTTCGACGGGCTGTCATGTTAATCAGCAGGTCTGATGTGGTTCAACATCTGTCAGAGGAGATCGCCACAAGGAGACAAAGGAAAGGGGGCGATTACAGTGGGCCAGATGGCCATCCGCCTGAGATTGAAGAATAGATTTGTCTCCAAAAAGTAATTTAGAAGATGGCCGTAATCCAGGCTTGATGATAGTAAGCCAACGTCATTGATGTGATAAAGACGACGGTGGGGCTGTGGCACACTGAGCCCTCTGCGCTGTCTGCCAGATTGGAGGCTATTTTTAGCCTTCAGAACAAGTACCAAAATATCCTGCACTCCAGTACGAGTGTAGACATGTTGGTGCAGTCTGACCTCGCTCTGTGGAAATGTAATGGTCCTGAAAACATTTGTAGAAAACAACGAGAAGATGTCACGCTGATGTGTCGTCTGCCTGTTTGTAGTTTCAGAGGTCCCGTGTGTCCATTAAAGAGTCGGAGAGTAAATGATGTAAACGCCAGCAGAGTTCAGGTTGGACTGAAGCACAGCAGGGAACATGAAGATACTCAATCAGCCCTTTTGTACTGATTTCAAAGAACCGTTTTAATTTTGCACCATCTCTTATTATGTCTCAGACCTGTGGCCATTTGATCAAAGCTAATGGTTAGCCACATCCACAGAGCACAATGCTAACAGTGAGGTTTCCCTACTGTTGTGGGGACATTGCCATCAATAATAATCAAATGGGAGTCCAGTTTCTCAGATGCTTGCAGTGCATGAGGACTCTTGTGTTCACTCTTGCAGCCAGCAGCAGAACCTTTGATGAGCTCTGCTGCTGGCTGAGAGGTTTTAGCATTAGCACGATGAGCTCTAGATGAAGAATAAACCTGCTGGACTGTGAGGCTCAGCTGGAGGCAGGATTATTGTCGTCATATAAACTGGATAAAACGTTAGCCGTCTACTTTAGGGGGGACTAGAGGAAAACCAGTCAAATTTCGAAGAAATGCAAAACGCAATGAGAATGGATTTACGCCATGTGGGACTTTTAACACGTCAACACAAACAATGCATGAGTGGCACTTGTTTGTGTTCCTGTCACTAACTAGGTCAAGGACACGTGCAGGCTGGACTCACCTTGTTCCCTTCGGTCATAAATGAGCCGGTTCCTGCAGCTGCGTGGTTCTTAGACACCAAGTGAAGCCGTACAGAAGTAACAGCGCTCAGTGAAATAACCTTAAATAAATAAAACCATCTTCTGAATGTAACCTACAGCAGCCGGACCATCCTGTCGGGCACCTTGGTTGTGTTTTTTTAATCAAACGTTCATTCTGTCTCCTGATTTCAGTCACTCGTCTTTAGTTTTTTTTCCAGTATAATTCGCTGCCATGTGTTCTGTTTTATTGTTTCTCTGCTCTGTGAGATGAATGACGTCGCTGCCATGTCTGGTCTGCCCGCTGTGAACAGGCGGCACCACGTTCGGCCGAATCGGAGCGTTGAGTGTGTTTAAATCTTCCTTTTGTCATTTTTTTTTCTTTCTGAACTGTGATATTTGCCCAATGAATGAAAACACAACTTGTGGATTTTATTTCCTTGTTCCTGAATTAGCGTAACTGAGACACAGTTGTTCGTTATCATTGTTTTTCACTTTGCCTCTGCTCGTTAATGATTTGGTGAAACATGAGTACTTGAACGTGTGAAACTGCTGAACCTTTGGCCTCAGGCTGCGTGGACGTCCGTGGATTCTTTTGGGTAGTGCACTAGATTTTCAGTGTTTTTATGTTTCAGATTATTTACTTCTAATTGATTGTTTTATTTCGTCTTGTACCTGAGGTCTTGTTTTCTATCAGTGTGATTCGAGCGTCGGTAATTAAACTCTGGCTCTGAGCTGAACCCGCGTACGTGGAGGTACGCAGGCGTAACGGTCATTTCTTTCTGCTTGTCCTCTCACGTTTACTTGAACATAATTTCCCTTCCTTCTGTTCCCTCTGCTGGCGGCAGCAAGGCTGATGTGTGTCGTGGTAAACGTAGAGCTCCCATGTGGTTCAGTGGAGATTCTTCCCCTTTTTGCTCTTCTTCTTCTTGCACTGACTCCACCCAGACGCCTTTCTGCTGCAACTGTTGATGCAATGAGCTGCCAGAAATGGCATCAAAATGGTTTATTATCATATAGTTTAATAAAAATCTATGATGGCACTGTATGACGTCTCACGTGACTTTTGCTTGTTTCTGTCGTGCGTTCACTGTAAAGCTACACGTGATGGAGAAGCTCCTCGGTTTCTGGAGCCTCTGTGTCGAAGTACAAGAAACAACAGAATGCTTTTTGCATCTTTTGCTTGGAGAAGCAAAAACAGAGCAGCATAACTTAACTGTTTATTCTGATTTTCTGGTGACAAGGAAAGTCTTAAAAACCCAACAGGCTTCTCTCTTAAAACACTTAAGTCTAATTGATGAAGAGCAAAATGATGCCAAACCCAATAAGCTGTTAATACTTCCAACTAATATGTGTTAGTGTCTCACAGTGCGATGACTCTGCTTTTTTCATCTTTATTTGGATTTATTGTCCGACTGTGTTTACTTCAAATGGTGCTTTTATGGTCACTCCTAAATAAATCTCTTATCAGCCAAATGACACCAGCTAAACTCTGTGGAAAACCCCACAGCCAAAACTTTTCCTCCACCTGACGCACCTGATCCAGGAATAAATAAATGTAGGCGGCTTCCTGTCAAGACAAAGGAAGGGCTTTTACAGTCATGGGTTTAAGGTTCACACAAGGAGGAAATGAAAAGCAGCCAGTGAGTGGTTTGTTTTGTCCGTCAGCACTGAGACTGACGTGATTTGAATTTCCAGTAAAGATTATCAGGAGCTGTGCAATAAATGTAAAATTTAAATGCCAAGATAGTGTTTAAATACAACAAACTACAATCTGATATCAGCTGTAGTAATGAGGCTACAACGCACAAATGTTTTTTTTTTTATTTCCCAGAAACATGATCTGAGGAAACGCTTCACTTTTTGTAAACAACAACGTATCAAAAACACACAATCAACTGTACAGAGAGTTTTTCATTGGCACACTGGGATTACATTCAGACTCTTTCGTAATGGATCTCTGCAGCCAGCCGGATGTTTGCAAAGCAAAGTTCAGATTTCATGAAGAAATGCCAGCATTTAAAGCTTCATGTTCCGCTCGGATACAACAGCGAGTAACGTCATCGCTGCATGACGAGTCCACGCTCACAACAAATAAACCTGTTTGTGTCCCAGCACATCTAAGTTTAGGGACAAGACGTTCTTAACTCGTTAAAAAAAAAAAAACAGGCGTGGATGGACGTGCTGAAAACCTGACCACTGAATATTGTTGTGTCGCTAAATGAGCCCTGATGAGGCTCATCTCCACCAACCTGTATGAACACTTCAGTCATGTGGTACTGCTGATGTATACTGCTCAGAAGGATCAGATCACGTGTAGAATTCTAATATGACCATTAATAATAAAAAATGACAATAATCTCAGCTGATCTGATTGCATATGACATGATAAAATAGGAGAGAAATTCAGCGCTGTTGTGTGTTGTGTGTTTTTTAAACCGCCACTGGGGGGCGCACTAGAGTCAGCATCGTTAATGTATGTGGTTCTGTTCAAAGGTAAAAATCTGAAGTATTAATAGCCATGTGCAGCAATTACTACGTGCACTTATCAAAAGTGCAATTATTTGCCAGAAATTTACAAGTCAGATATTTAAAATATTCTACAACATTATCTACATTTTTAATGAGTCCAGTTCGTCCTCGAGTTTAGTTGGACGGATTAGAAGCCCTGGTGAGGGGGCTGAAGGTCGTGGTGGTGGAGCCGACGGGGGTCTCCTCCCTCAAACAGTGCATGTTGCCGGTGTTGAATACGCACTGCAGGGGCCACAGCACAACCACGACCAGCAGCGCCATGAGCACGACGAAGAGCACCATCCTCTTCCAGTCTGACAGTCTGCCCAGCAGGCCAGAGGCCCGGCGTCGGCTTTGGGCCGGAGCATCTACCGGCTTGCTGGCGCCGATGTCGATGCAGATGCAGAAGGCCGTGGGGCTGTCGGGAGCACCGGAGCCGGTGTCCTGCCTGGAGCTTTTGTAGCACAGCTTCTCGCCCTCCAGCCACACTGGCTCTTCTTGCTGCTGGTGGGTGGGCAGCTTGCAGAGGACCTCGCGGCTGGTGGTCAGGGCTGGGGGACCCTCCTCGGTCAGCGTGGTGGGGTGACGGCAGAAGGGGCAAGAGAGGCGTGTGCTGTCACCATTACCATCCTTGCCTGTCACTGAGATTGCCATCAGGCGGGAAAGGCACTCGAGGCAGAAGGTGTGGGTGCACTCCAGCAGTTTGGGCGTTTTGAAGACGTTGTCGTAGGTGTTGAAGCAGATGGAGCACTCCGGCTGGCTCACCACTGACACCTTCTTCTGACGCTCTCCTGCCGTCTCCTCAGGGGGGAGCTGCACATGCCAAACCTGCTGGTTGGGATCCATGGTCAGCCTTCCCTTCGTTTGGACCTCCTGGTCTGTTGTGAACTTCTGGATTATACTGAAGAAATGAATGAAAAGTCAGAAGTTAGTTTTCTTATTTCTCATCATGTCTTGGTGCTGGCATCATGAAAACAGTTACTCAGTGCACATTTCATAACTGGATGATTGAACTCTATTTTTTACCCTCAGTCACACGTAATATTAAAAGCTGACAGGATTTTTCTCAGTCATTGAGTGATTTAGTCACAGGAGTAATGCAAAATGGGTCAGATGTGTCAATACTGTGTATGTACTGAACCAACAGCTGAATCCATGAAGTGACATGTCAGGAGGAATGGAGGGGATCAGACCAGCAGGTACAGCCTGATTGGTAGATGGTGAATGGTCTGGACTCATACAGCACCTTTCTACCTTAGAGGTACTCAGAGCGCTTTACAGTGTTTCCCATTCACACATTCATACACCAACAGAGCTGCCATGCAAGGAGCAACTTCAGGTTCAGGGTCTTGCCCAAGGACACCTTGGCATGTGGAGGAGCCGGGGATCGAACCACCAACCTCAGTGGACCCGCTTTATTACTATTTAGAAAGACATGTTGTTCTGAAAGGAACAGGTCCAGTCAGGATTACATTTCAATGAAGATTTGGGCCTTGAAGCAAGGAAAACATCTACAAGTCCATTTAATTCCACCGTCATTATAGAGACTGAAACTTCTACTGACTGACTACACTATACAGCAGAAGTGAGAAATCATGTTTTAATAATGGCATTAC